CTCGAATACCATCTTCCTGTTTGGATACTAGTTTTTGTAACTGTGTGCACAATAGTACAAGGATTGACGTGCTAAGCAATTAGATTAAGCTAAAAAAACAACTTAAATATTCCTATCTGGAGCATACCTAGGCTAGTATAGCACACGTGTGTGTGGTATACTAGGTGTGTATGTGTATGGTGTATGTACACCATACACACCATCTAAGTGTGTACACAGCGTACATTAGGCCTAGGGAGGTTGTGTTGGAGAGAAACTAACCTAAGTAGAAAATCGTTTTCCGGTTTGTCCAAATTCAATAGTAGCGATTTCTACTTTCTAACCGAGTTGTACGTCGGTGTATGTACTGTGGTCCGCATTGTTGCTATATGTACTACCAATAACAGGAGGACACACTCTCTCTCTCTCTCTCTCTCTCTCTCTCTCTCTCTCTCTCTCTCTCTCTCTCTCTCTCTCTCTCTCACACACACACACACACACACACACACACACACACACACACACACACACACACACACACACACACACACACACACACACACACACACACACACCGAGAGAGCGAGCGAGCGAGAGCACGTGTAGAGCAGCTGGGGCAAGGAAGGGTGGGGGTGGGGGTAGGGAGTTTGGGTGAATGGGGCAGGAAACAGCTGAGCAGACAACAGCTGACCGTCTCCAATCTTCACTTCAGAGACGCTGGAGAACAATTATCTATTGTCCACTGACGTCATCGCTTTACTCCGTTTTCTTTGCCCATTCAATTTTATTGCCGTTCAGCCTTTTCGATTTTTATTATTGTCCCAATTGTTCCAATTGTACTTCCTCTCTGTTAGTCAACTCATGTCATATTTAGTTTGCATATGTTCTTAATAATAATGTTAACATCAACTTCCATCAGACTAATTATTACATTTAATCAAATGATAGAATTATTTTTATTTAGGCACTTAAGCACTCCTTACCCATCCTGTGGGTGGTGGTGGATCCCCTTACCCATCCTGTGAGTGGTGGTGGACCCCTTACCCATCCTGTGGGTGGTGGTGGTGGTCCCCTTACCCATCCTGTGGGTGGTGGTGGTCCCCTTACTCATCCTGTGGGTGGTGGTGGTGGTCCCCTTACCCATCCTGTGGGTGGTGGTGGTGGACCCCTTACCCATCCTGTGGGTGGTGGTGGTGGTCCCCTTACCCATCCTGTGGGTGGTGGTGGTGGTCCCCTTACCCATCCTGTGGGTGGTGGTGGTGGACCCCTTACCCATCCTGTGGGCGGTGGTGGTGGTCCCCTTACCCATCCTGTAGGTGGTGGTGGTGGTCCCCTTACTCATCCTGTGGGTGGTGGTGGTGGACCCCTTACCCATCCTGTGGGTGGTGGTGGTGGACCCCTTACCTATCCTGTGGGTGGTGGTGGTGGACCCCTTACCCATCCTGTGGGTGGTGGTGGTGGACCCCTTACCCATCCTGTGGGTGGTGGTGGTGGACCCCTTACCCATCCTGTGGGCGGTGGTGGTGGACCCCTTACCCATCCTGTGGGCGGTGGTGGTGGACCCCTTACCCATCCTGTGGGCGGTGGTGGTGGTCCCCTTACCCATCCTGTGGGCGGTGGTGGTGGTCCCCTTACCCATCCTGTAGGCGGTGGTGGTGGTCCCCTTACCCATCCTGTGGGCGGTGGTGGTGGTCCCCTTACCCATCCTGTGGGCGGTGGTGGTGGTCCCCTTACCCATCCTGTGGGCGGTGGTCCCCTTACCTATCCTCTGGGCGGTGGTGGTGGTCCCCTTACCCATCCTGTGGGCGGTGGTGGTGGTCCCCTTACCTATCCTGTGGGCGGTGGTGGTGGTCCCCTTACCCATCCTGTGGGCGGTGGTGGTGGTCCCCTTACCCATCCTGTGGGTGGTGGTGGTCCCCTTACCCATCCTGTGGGTGGTGGTGGACCCCTTACCCATCCTGTGGGCGGTGGTGGTGGTCCCCTTACCCATCCTGTGGGTGGTGGTGGTCCCCTTACCCATCCTGTGGGCGGTGGTGGTGGTCCCCTTACTCATCCTGTGGGTGGTGCTGGTGGACCCCTTACCCATCCTGTGGGTGGTGGTGGACCCCTACCCATCCTGTGGGTGGTGGTGGACCCCATACCCATCCTGTGGGTGGTGGTGGACCCCATACCCATCCTGTGGGTGGTGGTGGACCCCATACCCATCCTGTGGGTGGTGGTGGACCCCTTACCCATCCTGTGGGTGGTGGTGGACCCCTTACCCATCCTGTGGGTGGTGGTGGACCCCTACCCATCCTGTGGGTGGTGGTGGACCCCATACCCATCCTGTGGGTGGTGGTGGACCCCTTACCCATCCTGTGGGTGGTGGTGGACCCCTTACCCATCCTGTGGGTGGTGGTGGACCCCTTACCCATCCTGTGGGTGGTGGTGGACCCCTTACCCATCCTGTGGGTGGTGGTGGACCCCTTACCCATCCTGTGGGTGGTGGTGGTGGACCCCTTACCTATCCTGTGGGTGGTGGTGGACCCCTTACCTATCCTGTGGGTGGTGGTGGTGGACCCCTTACCTATCCTGTGGGTGGTGGTGGATTGGTTACAGAGGCAAATAATGGGCTCAGAAGGTGCCCATTATTTTTTCCCCCAAGATGTTCAATAACTTCATTTTAAGGATTTTTTCTTCCCGAGATAATCCGTCATGCACAGTTTGTGCATGACTTCACTTCAACCTCATGAGGTGGACGGGTGACGTCTCCGGCACCAGGAGAACCAAACGTTGTGCATGACTTCACTTTAACCTCATGAGGTGGACGGGTGACGTCTCCGGCACCAGGAGAACCAAACGTTGTGCATGACTTCACTTCAACCTCATGAGGTGGACGGGTGACGTCTCCGGCACCAGGAGAACCAAACGTTGTGCATGACTTCACTTCAACCTCATGAGGTGGACGGGTGACGTCTCCGGCACCAGGAGAACCAAACGTTGTGCATGACTTCACTTCAACCTCATGAGGTGGACGGGTGACGTCTCCGGCACCAGGAGAACCAAACGTTGTGCATGACTTCACTTCAACCTCATGAGGTGGACGGGTGACGTCTCCGGCACCAGGAGAACCAAACGTTGTGCATGACTTCACTTCAACCTCATGAGGTGGACGGGTGACGTCTCCGGCACCAGGAGAACCAAACGTTGTGCATGACTTCACTTCAACCTCATGAGGTGGACGGGTGACGTCTCCGGCACCAGGAGAACCAAACGTTGTGCATGACTTCACTTCAACCTCATGAGGTGGACGGGTGACGTCTCCGGCACCAGGAGAACCAAACGTTGTGCATGACTTCACTTCAACCTCATGAGGTGGACGGGTGACGTCTCCGGCACCAGGAGAACCAAACGTTGTGCATGACTTCACTTCAACCTCATGAGGTGGACGGGTGACGTCTCCGGCACCAGGAGAACCAAACGTTGTGCATGACTTCACTTCAACCTCATGAGGTGGACGGGTGACGTCTCCGGCACCAGGAGAACCAAACGTTGTGCATGACTTCACTTCAACCTCATGAGGTGGACGGGTGACGTCTCCGGCACCAGGAGAACCAAACGTTGTGCATGACTTCACTTCAACCTCATGAGGTGGACGGGTGACGTCTCCGGCACCAGGAGAACCAAACGTTGTGCATGACTTCACTTCAACCTCATGAGGTGGACGGGTGACGTCTCCGGCACCAGGAGAACCAAACGTTGTGCATGACTTCACTTCAACCTCATGAGGTGGACGGGTGACGTCTCCGGCACCAGGAGAACCAAACGTTGTGCATGACTTCACTTCAACCTCATGAGGTGGACGGGTGACGTCTCCGGCACCAGGAGAACCAAACGTTGTGCATGACTTCACTTCAACCTCATGAGGTGGACGGGTGACGTCTCCGGCACCAGGAGAACCAAACGTTGTGCATGACTTCACTTCAACCTCATGAGGTGGACGGGTGACGTCTCCGGCACCAGGAGAACCAAACGTTGTGCATGACTTCACTTCAACCTCATGAGGTGGACGGGTGACGTCTCCGGCACCAGGAGAACCAAACGTTGTGCATGACTTCACTTCAACCTCATGAGGTGGACGGGTGACGTCTCCGGCACCAGGAGAACCAAACGTTGTGCATGACTTCACTTCAACCTCATGAGGTGGACGGGTGACGTCTCCGGCACCAGGAGAACCAAACGTTGTGCATGACTTCACTTCAACCTCATGAGGTGGACGGGTGACGTCTCCGGCACCAGGAGAACCAAACGTTACATGCTACTCGAGTCCCTTCTCTTTTCTCATGATCTTCTCCATCACCGTTCACGGTACACCAGTTAAGGACCCCGGCCTGTAATACAGGGCGTCAGTAGAATAGAGATCTCCAGTCTTTATTGTTGTGTTGTCCTCTGTCTAGATGATTTCGGGGCTTAACGTCCCCGCGGCCCGGTCCTCGACCAGGCCTCCTTTTTGTTACCCCCCCCCCTTCCCCCCAGGAAGCAGCCCGTAGCAGCTGTCTAACTCCCAGGTACCTATTTACTGCTTGGTAACAGGAGCATCTGGGTGAAAGAAACTGCCCATTTGTTTCCGCCTCCACCGGGAATCGAACCCGGAACCTCAGGACTACGGATCCGAAGCGCTGCAGCTCTCCTCTCAGCTGTCAGGCCCCTCAGGTGGGAGGAAGTATGGATGGATGCTGAATATCTGGCATACTTGACCCTATGGGAGGAGCTAGCGGTACTCTGGCTTTCCGTTCCTTGTTAAGCCTGGGACCAAATTCCTTCATGTTGAACACGTTCAACATGTTCAACACGTTCAACATGTTGAACACGTTGAACATGTTGAACACGTTAAACATGTTGAACACGTTGAACACGTTGAACATGTTGAACATGTTGAACACGTTGAACATGTTGAACATGTTGAACACGTTGAACATGTTGAACACGTTGAACATGTTGAACACGAACATGTTGAACACGTTGAACATGTTGAACACGTTGAACATGTTGAACACGTTGAACATGTTGAACACGTTGAACATGTTGAACACGAACATGTTGAACACGTTGAACATGTTGAACATGCTGAACACGTTGAACATGTTGAACACGTTGAACACGTTGAACATGTTGAACAAGCAGCCAGAGCTCCTGGGGCTGCTTGCTCAACATGTCACCATTCAAGTAGGTTTATTGAGACAAGAAAATGTCTGGGAAACTGTTGCTGGTAGCGATAGAAGCTCCTCTCTCTCTATTATTATTAATTAATGTCAGCCATGTTGTTTCTATCGTATTCCTGTCTGGGTCTTTTAGCTGTCATTTGGTGGTGAGGGGGGGGGGTTATATATTGCTTCTACTCTTATTTTTGATCCTCCAATTGCTATGGTGGCTGTTATGTAATCACTGAACCCTTCACAGCCATGGATAACCATCTCCTCAAAACTTCAGTTTTTTCTTATCAGCAGAGCTACTCCATCTCTTCTTTCTTTTCTTTCCCTATACTACGTAATATTCCTGCGCGCGCACGCGTGTACTCACCTAGTTGTGCTTGCGGGGGTTGAGCTCTGCTCTTTCGGCCCGCCTCTCGACTGTCAATCAACTGTTTTTACAACTACTATTTTTTGTCACACCACACACCCCAGGAAGCCGCCCGTGACAGCTGATTCCCAGGTACCTATTTATTGCTAGGTAACAGGGGCATAGGGTGAAAGAAACTTTGCCCATCGTTTCTCGCCAGCGCCCGGGATCGAACCCGGGACCACACACGGCGCCCGGGTCCCGAACCCGGGACCATCACGTGTCCAGCGTGCTGTCCGCTCGGCCACCGTCTCCCCTAACGCACATACACGTATGTGTGTGTGCACGTGCGTGGTGGGAGGGGGAAGGTGTCGAGATGTGTGTGGGTCCAGATGTGTGCTGGCATGATGGAACTGTGTGGAGGGTGAGAGAGAGGGGGGGGCGGTGGGGATAGACCCCTCCCTCACATCCACCTATCCAGAGCTCCTCTATAATTATCTCTCTTCCTAGCACCGCGGGATGTCTAGCCAGCAGGCGGGAACACCGTTCATCACACCTATCAGAGGGGAAACATTATATACCCATAAATGGTATTCGAACCGCTCCTGGGCGACCCGGTGTTCTACACTTTATTATGAAACCCGGAAGCCGAGGCCAGGATTCTCGGTGTCATCACTAGCTAAGGTTTCCTGAAATTCTTTCAGGCTTCGTGAGTTCAGTTTAGTGTCTTACTCAATGGTTGCTGCTTTCTTGATGAGTCCCCAGGCTCCTGTGTGTGTAGGGCTCATGCTGTCGTGCGTGGAGTGCTTGTGTCGTCTTGTCGTGCATGCTGTCGTGCGTGGAGTGGTTGTGTCGTCTTGTCGTGCATGCTGTCGTGTGTGGAGTGGTTGTGTCGTCTTGTCGTGCATGCTGTCGTGTGTGGAGTGGTTGTGTCGTCTTGTCGTGCATGCTGTCGTGTGTGGAGTAGTTGTGTCGTCTTGTCGTGCATGCTGTCGTGTGTGGAGTGGTTGTGTCGTCTTGTCGTGCATGCTGTCGTGTATGGAGTGGTTGTGTCGTCTTGTCGTGCATGCTGTCGTGTGTGGAGTGGTTGTGTCGTCTTGTCGTGCATGCTGTCGTGTGTGGAGTGGTTGTGTCGTCTTGTCGTGCATGCTGTCGTGTGTAGTGGTTGTGTCGTCTTGTCGTGTATGCTGTCGTGTGTGTAGTGGTTGTGTCGTCTTGTCGTGCGTGGAGTGCTTGTGTCGTCTTGTCGTGCGTGGAGTGCTTGTGTCGTCCTGTCGTGCATGCTGTCGTGCGTGGAGTGCTTGTGTCGTCTTGTCGTGCATGCTGTCGTGCGTGGAGTGCTTGTGTCGTCTTGTCGTGCATGCTGTCGTGCGTGGAGTGCTTGTGTCGTCCTGTCGTGCATGCTGTCGTGCGTGGAGTGCTTGTGTCGTCCTGTCGTGCATGCTGTCGTGCGTGGAGTGCTTGTGTCGTCCTGTCGTGCATGCTGTCGTGCGTGGAGTGCTTGGGTCGTCTTGTCGTGCATGCTGTCGTGCGTGGAGTGCTTGTGTCGTCCTGTCGTGCATGCTGTCGTGCGTGGAGTGCTTGGGTCGTCCTGTCGTGCATGCTGTCGTGCGTGGAGTGCTTGGGTCGTCTTGTCGTGCATGCTGTCGTGCGTGGAGTGCTTGTGTCGTCCTGTCGTGCATGCTGTCGTGCGTGGAGTGCTTGTGTCGTCCTGTCGTGCATGCTGTCGTGCGTGGAGTGCTTGTGTCGTCCTGTCGTGCATGCTGTCGTGCGTGGAGTGCTTGTGTCGTCCTGTCGTGCATGCTGTCGTGCGTGGAGTGCTTGGGTCGTCCTGTCGTGCATGCTGTCGTGCGTGGAGTGCTTGTGTCGTCTTGTCGTGCATGCTGTCGTGCGTGGAGTGCTTGTGTCGTCCTGTCGTGCATGCTGTCGTGCGTGGAGTGCTTGGGTCGTCCTGTCGTGCATGCTGTCGTGCGTGGAGTACTTGTGTCGTCCTGTCGTGCATGCTGTCGTGCGTGGAGTGCTTGGGTCGTCCTGTCGTGCATGCTGTCGTGCGTGGAGTGCTTGGGTCGTCCTGTCGTGCATGCTGTCGTGCGTGGAGTGCTTGTGTCGTCCTGTCGTGCATGCTGTCGTGCGTGGAGTGCTTGGGTCGTCCTGTCGTGCATGCTGTCGTGCGTGGAGTACTTGTGTCGTCCTGTCGTGCATGCTGTCGTGCGTGGAGTGCTTGTGTCGTCTTGTCGTGCATGCTGTCGTGCGTGGAGTGCTTGTGTCGTCCTGTCGTGCATGCTGTCGTGCGTGGAGTGCTTGGGTCGTCCTGTCGTGCATGCTGTCGTGCGTGGAGTACTTGTGTCGTCCTGTCGTGCATGCTGTCGTGCGTGGAGTGCTTGGGTCGTCCTGTCGTGCATGCTGTCGTGCGTGGAGTGCTTGTGTCGTCTTGTCGTGCATGCTGTCGTGCGTGGAGTGCTTGTGTCGTCCTGTCGTGCATGCTGTCGTGCGTGGAGTGCTTGTGTCGTCTTGTCGTGCATGCTGTCGTGCGTGGAGTGCTTGTGTCGTCCTGTCGTGCATGCTGTCGTGCGTGGAGTGCTTGGGTCGTCTCGTCTATGTACCATTTACATACAACATCGAGGACAAAATCCTCCCCGCCCCCCTTACCTGTTGTATAGTGACATAGTTACGCTATTAGTGACACAGTAAGCCTATTGTAGTCGCGAAATATTGAGTCTGTCTTATTACCAACTTAGTGAAACAGCCTACTGTATTAGCGATACAGCCTACTGTATTAGCGATACAGCCTACTGTATTAGCGATACAGGCTACTGTATTAGCGATACAGGCTACTGCATTAGCGATACAGGCTACTGCATTAGCGATACAGGCTACTGCATTAGCGATACAGGCTACTGCATTAGCGATACAGCCTACTGCATTAGCGATACAGGCTACTGCATTAGCGATACAGGCTACTGCATTAGCGATACAGCCTACTGCATTAGCGACACAGCCTACTGCATTAGCGATACAGGCTACTGCATTAGCGATACAGGCTACTGCATTAGCGATACAGCCTACTGCATTAGCGATACAGGCTACTGTATTAGCGACACATTAAGCCTACAGTCGATGACGCGATAATTTGTGGGTGGACAGTGGGGGGGGAGGAGCGGCGCCGCCCATCCTCCTGTTTACTGTATCACCCTTCCGGCCACCAGGCTCCTAGCCGGCTCCCCACACCCCCCACCCACACTCCTAGCCGGCTCCCCACACCCCCCACCCACACTCCTAGCCGGCTCCCCACACCCCCCAACCCACACTCCTAGCCGGCTGCCCACACCCCCCACCCACACTCCTAGCCGGCTCTCCACACCCCCACCCACACTCCTAGCCGGCTCCCCACACCCCCCACCCACACTCCTAGCCGGCTCCCCACACCCCCCACCCACACTCCTAGCCGGCTCCCCACACCCCCCACCCACACTCCTAGCCGGCTCCCCACACCCCCTACCCACACTCCTAGCCGGCTCCCCACACCCCCCACCCACACTCCTAGCCGGCTCCCCACACCCCCCACCCACACTCCTAGCCGGCTCCCCACACCCACCACCCACACTCCTAGCCGGCTCCCCACACCCCCCACCCACACTCCTAGCCGGCTCCCCACACCCCCCACCCACACTCCTAGCCGGCTCCCCACACCCCCCACCCACACTCCTAGCCGGCTCCCCACACCCCCCACCCACACTCCTAGCCGGCTCTCCACACCCCCACCCACACTCCTAGCCGGCTCCCCACACCCCCCACCCACACTCCTAGCCGGCTCCCCACACCCCCCACCCACACTCCTAGCCGGCTCCCCACACCCCCCACCCACACTCCTAGCCGGCTCCCAACACCCCCCACCCACACTCCTAGCCGGCTCCCCACACCCCCCACCCACACTCCTAGCCGGCTCCCCACACCCCCCACCCACACTCCTAGCCGGCTCCCCCCCCCACCCACACTCCTAGCCGGCTCCCCCCACCCCCCCCCCCACCCACACTCCTAGCCGGCCCCCCCCCACCCACACTCCTAGCCGGCCACCCCCCCCCACCCACACTCCTAGCCGGCTCCCCACACCCCCACCCACGCTCCTAGCCGGCTCCCCACACCCCCCCATCCCCCCCACCCACGCTCCTAGCCGGCTCCCCACACCCCCCCCCACCCACGCTCCCAGCCGGCTCCCCACACCCCCCCCCACCCACGCTCCTAGCCGGCCACCCCCCCCCACCCACGCTCATAGCCGGCTCCCCACACCCCCACCCACGCTCCTAGCCGGCCCCCCCCCACCCACGCTCATAGCCGGCTCCCCACACCCCCACCCACGCTCCTAGCCGGCCTCCCCCACCCACGCTCATAGCCGGCTCCCCACACCCCCACACTCCTAGCCGGCCACCCCCCCCCCACTCACGCTCATAGCCGGCTCCCCACACCCCCACACTCCTAGCCGGCCCCCCCCCACCCACGCTCATAGCCGGCTCCCCACACCCCCACACTCCTAGCCGGCCCCCCCCCACCCACGCTCATAGCCGGCTCCCCACACCCCCACGCTCCTAGCCGGCCACCCCCCCCCACCCACGCTCATAGCCGGCTCCCCACACCCCCACCCACGCTCCTAGCCGGCCCCCCCCCACCCACGCTCATAGCCGGCTCCCCACACCCCCACCCACGCTCCTAGCCGGCCTCCCCCACCCACGCTCATAGCCGGCTCCCCACACCCCCACACTCCTAGCCGGCCACCCCCCCCCCACTCACGCTCATAGCCGGCTCCCCACACCCCCACACTCCTAGCCGGCCCCCCCCACCCACGCTCATAGCCGGCTCCCCACACCCCCACACTCCTAGCCGGCCCCCCCCCCACCCACGCTCATAGCCGGCTCCCCACACCCCCACACTCCTAGCCGGCCACCCCCCCCCCACTCACGCTCATAGCCGGCTCCCCACACCCCCACACTCCTAGCCGGCCCCCCCCACTCACGCTCATAGCCGGCTCCCCACACCCCCACACTCCTAGCCGGCCACCCCCCCCCCACTCACGCTCATAGCCGGCTCCCCACACCCCCACACTCCTAGCCGGCCCCCCCCACCCACGCTCATAGCCGGCTCCCCACACCCCCACACTCCTAGCCGGCCCCCCCCACTCACGCTCATAGCCGGCTCCCCACACCCCCACACTCCTAGCCGGCCACCCCCCCCCCACTCACGCTCATAGCCGGCTCCCCACACTCCTAGCCGGCCCCCCCCCACTCACGCTCATAGCCGGCTCCCCACACCCCCACACTCCTAGCCGGCCCCCCCCACCCACGCTCATAGCCGGCTCCCCACACCCCCACACTCCTAGCCGGCCACCCCCCCCCACCCACGCTCATAGCCGGCTCCCCACACCCCCACACTCCTAGCCGGCCCCCCCCCCCCACTCACGCTCATACCCGGCTCCCCACACCCCCACACTCCTAGCCGGCCCCCCCCACCCACACTCCTAGCCGGCCACCCCCCCCCCATGTGCTATTGAAATAAAGCCAACGAAACCCGTTATAAAGAACGATTTATATCCAGTCTTAAAGACTAGGAGGGAAGAGAACTATCAGGAGAAAGCGCCAAGCCATTACGACTATATAGCACTGGGAAGGAGTCAGGATAAGGATTGGGGATGGGACGGGGGGGGGGGGATAAGAGGCGATATATACAAGTATTGAAGGATTTCAAAGAATATGACGATGCTAACTCGGGACAATTCTTGAATATTGCTCAACCAACATATTGTGCACCAGTGACTTATATGATATAGGTTATATATTATATAACGATATAATACACACCAATAATGTAAAATTGTTTGATTTAATCGAATATTAATGTCATATCATTGTTCTATTATGAATATATGTATACACAATATAACAGATCAATGCCATGTATATATAATAGAACAATGCTGTGTATACATATCCAACCCGTCCTCGGCAAATACTTTACCCCCCCCCCCCCCCCTATTCAAACCACTTGGATAGTTGGCCAGATATCTGTGATGGCCTGAAAGCATATTACGGTTTCTTTAATAGTCTACAGGTAAACTGGCAAGTGAACCTTGTCGTAAAGATTATTCTCAGGTTATAACTTTAATAGAAATTTGCTGATTTGTAATGTAAAAAAATGTATGGGAGGAAGCCGAGCGGACAGCACGCTGGGCGTGTGATCCTGTGGTCCTGGGTTCGATCCCAGGCGCCGGCGAGACACATTGGGCAGAGTTTCTTTCACCCTATGCCCCTGTTACCTAGCAGTAAAATAGGTACCTGGGTGTTAGTCAACTGTCACGGGCTGCTTCCTGGGGGTGGAGGCCTGGTCGAGGACCGGGCCGCGGGGACACTAAAAAGCCCCGAAATCATCTCAAGATAACCTATGTTGAGTACGTTTACTTTGAGAAATTTGGTTTTCTGTAAATGAAATTCGAGGGCACACTGAAACAGTTTTCGAATTCAACTCTATTCCCTTGATCGGCTCTCCTCTTTGAAGAGAGGCTGATATATCATATTACAACAAGTATACATATGTATACACGGCATTGTTGTATTATAATACATTTACCACCACAAGCTTAATAAAGTAGCCTAGTTTGGATGTAGTAACGTGCTGGTATTTCAATTCCGTTGCGAACATTTGCAAACAATTAATACATGTAACAGTGAATATGACAATTGGAAGGATAGGAAGTTGATATATTATTGAAAGTATACAGCTGGCAAGGCTGGGTTCAGGAGCTAAAGCTCGATCGTACATGCACATCTAGGTGAATACATTGTAATTACTGCCCCACCTGCTCGCTTCTAAGGTGGGGCTCTGGCTCTTTGGGCCCGCCTCTCAACTGTGTTCACGTAGTTGTGCTTGCGGGGGTTGAGCTCTGGCTCTTTGGGCCCGCCTCTCAACTGTGTTCACGTAGTTGTGCTTGCGGGGGTTGAGCTCTGGCTCTTTGGGCCCGCCTCTCAACTGTCAACCAACATTTTGTGTGTGTGTGTGTGTGTGTGTGTGTGTGTGTGTGTGTGTGTGTGTGTGTGTGTGTGTGTGTGTGTGTGTGTGTGTGGAAGAGGAATGGGGGCTGAGGGTGAGCCGTCTTCGTAATCCGGGCTAAGGTTTAGTTTAGTTCACCAAGGGAGAGTCCAAACACCACGACCACTTCTGAGGAAGGGGGGGGGGTCCAGAACCCTCCCCCCCCCCCCGGGTAATGGCCATGCAGGCACCGGGTGAACGGGAAGTTCAGTCAATTAAACAGCCGTCGCTCCTTCGTAGTTGTACCTTGAAGGGTGAGGGAGCGAGGGGGGGGGGGGGGGGGGGGGAGGGCAGGATGGAAAGGGAGGATCAGAAAAGGAATAGAGGGACCCGGGACAGGTAGGGGAGGGGGGGGGCGGGGGTCTGGACATCTTATACATGGACTATTTTTTTCTCACAAATTCTCTACATTTTGCAGGGAAGCAAAGTTATTGAAGCAGCTTAACTGGTCGAGGGAGTAAACACCCGACAGTAACCGTATGAACAACACCCCACAATTGAATGAACACCTGACTGGGTTGTTCGTCCTGTCACTTGTTCCATAAACGCCTTGGACGAGCAGTCTCACATGAACAGACTGTCAAAAACCGGATTAATACTTACCAACTCAATCTTAGCATCACCTTGTGGCTCAAGGCGAGATGAGAGAGGGGCGGGGGGGGGGGGATTATCCTAGACTCAGCCTTCAGGAGGAAAATAACTGGAGAACGTACCAAGCCTTTACGACTATACAGAACTGGGAAGGGGTCAGGATTAGAGATGGTATGGGGGAAAGGAATGGTGCCCAACCATTTGGACGATCGGAGATTGAACGCCGACCTGCAGGAAGCGAGGCCGTCGCTCTACCATCCAGTTAAAGTAGATTTCAATAGGGCACAGGGAGTGGGGGAGACGTCAGGTGTGGTGGTGTCAACTCCTCTGAAGCAGTGGCCACCAAACTCAAGAAATCCCACTTCCTCTATTCCGTCCTCTCCCATCGTCCCCATTCTTTCCCATCATCCCCCCATTGCTCCCTCACTCCCTTCCACATCACTCCCTCCCTTATCACCTCACTTTACATTGTATTCCGAAATTGTGTCTGGGGCCAGATTCACGAGGCAGTTACGCAAGCACTTACGAACCTCTACATCTTTTCTCAATCTTTGGCGGCTTTGTTAACAATTATTAAACAGTTAATGAGCTCCGAAGCACCAGGAGGCTGTTTATAACAATAACAGTTGATTGGCAAGTTTTCATGCAAACTGTTTAATAAATGTAACCAAAGCCGTCAAAGATTGAGAAAAGATGTACAGGTTCGTAAATGCTTGCGTAACTGCTTCGTGAGTTTGTATTCTGGTTCTTGACATCTTGACTAAGTGTTGGCGTGTGTGGCTCTGTGTTCACCTCATAATAACTAGTCCCGTAAGGCGCTGTGACAAGTGTTGTTTATACGCCAAGTGTCTATGAAGATTTGTCCTTTCACAGCGGTGTTGGCCGGTCATTCTCTCTTATACATCACTGTCTGTACAAGTTAGTGGGTGTGTTACGGGGTTCGATACCTGTAGGAGTGGGATTTGGCCTTGTGCAGTGTGTGAAGTGGTGGGCCAAACCCACTACCTGTGTGTGGTGAGGTGGGCCAACCCTGGAAACACAAACCGAAACTGTCTCTATTTTCCGCTTGTTACAACTTGTAATAAAGTTGTTACATCTTGGCTTAACGTGTTTATGACGTATTTGAACGTTGTTACAACTTGCTATATTGGTTGTTATAACTGGTTAGGAAGTGTTAAAACTTGTTCGAACGTTGTACCAACGTCATAGTTTCGGTGTGTGTTTGGCGGGAACCCACCTCCTGCCTTAATACGCGAACAGAAGAAATCTGTACATTATTGTATGAAGCCATTTCCTGGCTCTAAGGAATACAGCTGAGAATTAGTTTTTGTTTTTGTAAGAGGATTAAAAATATTTATACATTGTCATAACCCACTTGAAGAGAGTGATGTAGCTTTGTATTTTTACAATGTTGTATATTTTGTGTATTAAATAATCTGATTGTTATTTCTTCATTTGCAAGTGACCATGTATTAATGTAAATAATGTAAAATGCACTGTTTGTTGAGTTAAATGCAACATGGTTTGATAACGTTGTGTTTAGGATGGAATCAGCTCTCGTCTTGTGTGTGTATATATAGTGTTTAACCTGTGTGCTTGTCTGTTACTCTAGTCTTGTTCTTATCAGTATTTGACCAATTTTCACTTTCATGTTTATATGTGTACAGTTTGTGAAATTGTCTTTGAAGTATATAGCCCATAGTAAGTAAGCTTTTGGTCACTGTAATCATCTGGTAAATTATATATATATATATATATATATATATATATATATATATATATATATATATATATATATATATATATATATATATATATATATATATATAAAATCCGGTATAAAATCTTTTTTTTCTTCATTAAATAATCAGTATTATAGTTTTAATGGATCATACTAGGAAAGTGTTTAGTATGGGATTAGTTTACACCTTGTTTGTTTACACATGTAAAGTATACTGGTAAACCCACTTACCGTGAAGGTATACTCTGGCTACACACACACACACACACACACACACACATATATATATATATATATATATATATATATATATATATATATATATATATATATATATATAATACACAAAATTTATCACTAAACATGTATGAAATCACTAAAAGTGTTAGTTATTGCATTTTTGTAAAAAAAAAATACCCATTAGTGTGGGTGGAGTCGGGTATGTGTCCCCGTCAGTGTGGGTGGAGGCGGGTATGTGTCCCCGTCAGTGTGGGTGGAGGCGGGTACGTGTCCCCGTCAGTGTGGGTGGAGGCGGGTATGTGTCCCCGTCAGTGTGGGTGGAGGCGGGTATGTGTCCCCGTCAGTGTGGGTGGAGGCGGGTATGTGTCCCCGTCAGTGTGGGTGGAGGCGGGTATGTGTCCCCGTCAGTGTGGGTGGAGACGGGTATGTGTCCCCGTCATTGTGGGTGGAGACGGGTATGTGTCCCCGTCAGTGTGGGTGGAGGCGGGTATGTGTCCCCGTCATTGTGGGTAGAGGCGGGTATGTGTCCCCGTCAGTGTGGGTGGAGGCGGGTATGTGTCCCCGTCAGTGTGGGTGGAGGCGGGTATGTGTCCCCGTCAGTGTGGGTGGAGGCGGGTATGTGTCCCCGTCAGTGTGGGTGGAGGCGGGTATGTGTCCCGTCAGTGTGGGTGGAGGCGGGTATGTGTCCCCCGTCAGTGTGGGTGGAGGCGGGTATGTGTCCCCCGTCAGTGTGGGTGGAGGCGGGTATGTGTCCCCGTCAGTGTGGGTGGAGGCGGGTATGTGTCCCCGTCAGTGTGGGTGGAGGCGGGTATGTGTCCCCGTCAGTGTGGGTGGAGACGGGTATGTGTCCCCCGTCAGTGTGGGTTTAGGCGGGTTGTGGGTGGAGGCGGGTATGTGTCCCCGTCAGTGTGGGTGGAGACGGGTATGTGTCCCCGTCAGTGTGGGTGGAGGCGGGTATGTGTCCCCGTCAGTGTGGGTGGAGGAGGGTATGTGTCCCCCGTCAGTGTGGGTGGAGGAGGGTATGTGTCCCCCGTCAGTGTGGGTGGAGGCGGGTATGTGTCCCCGTCAGTGTGGGTGGAGGAGGGTATGTGTCCCCGTCAGTGTGGGTGGAGGCGGGTATGTGTCCCCGTCAGTGTGGGTGGAGACGGGTATGTGTCCCCGTCAGTGTGGGTGGAGGCGGGTATGTGTCCCCGTCAGTGTGGGTGGAGGCGGGTATGTGTCCCCGTCAGTGTGGGTGGAGACGGGTATGTGTCCCCGTCAGTGTGGGTGGAGACGGGTATGTGTCCCCGTCAGTGTGGGTGGAGGCGGGTATGTGTCCCCGTCAGTGTGGGTGGAGACGGGTATGTGTCCCCGTCAGTGTGGGTGGAGACGGGTATGTGTCCCCGTCACTGTAAGTAGAGACGGGTATGTGTCCCCGTCAGTGTGGGTGGAGGCGGGTATGTGTCCCCGTCAGTGTGGGTGGAGACGGGTATGTGTCCCCGTCCTTGTGGGTAGAGACGGGTATGTGTGTCCGTCAGTGTAGGTTCAGACGGGTATGTGTCCCCGTCAGTGTAGGTGGAGACAGGGATACATGTGTCCCCCGTCAGTGTAGGTTGAGACGGGTATGTGTCCCCCGTCAGTGTAGGTTGAGACGGGTATGTGTCCCCGTCAGTGTGGGTGGAGACGGGTATGTGTCCCCGTCAGTGTAGGTTCAGACGGGTGTCCCCCCGTCAGTGTAGGTTCAGACGGGTATGTGTCCCCGTCAGTGTGGGTGGAGACGGGTATGTGTCCCCCGTCAGTGTAGGTTCAGACGGGTATGTGTCCCCGTCAGTGTAGGTTCAGACGGGTATGTGTCCCCGTCAGTGTAGGTGGAGACAGGGATACATGTGTCCCCCGTCAGTGTAGGTTGAGACGGGTATGTGTCCCCCGTCAGTGTGGGTGGAGACGGGTATGTGTCCCCGTCAGTGTAGGTTCAGACGGGTATGTGTCCCCGTCAGTGTAGGTTCAGACGGGTATGTGTCCCCGTCAGTGTAGGTGGAGGCGGGTATGTGTCCCCGTCATTGTGGGTAGAGACGGGTATGTGTCCCCGTCAGTGTGGGTGGAGACGGGTATGTGTCCCCCGTCAGTGTAGGTTCAGACGGGTATGTATCCCCGTCAGTGTAGGTTCAGACGGGTATGTGTCCCCGTCAGTGTAGGTTGAGACGGGTATGTGTCCCCGTCAGTGTAGGTGGAGACAGGGATACATGTGTCCCCCGTCAGTGTAGGTTGAGACGGGTATGTGTCCCCGTCAGTGTGGGTGGAGGCGGGTATGTGTCCCCGTCATTGTGGGTGGAGACGGGTATGTGTCCCCGTCATTGTGGGTGGAGACGGGTATGTGTCCCCGTCAGTGTGGGTGGAGACGGGTATGTGTCCCCGTCAGTGTGGGTGGAGACGGGTATGTGTCCCCGTCATTGTGGGTGGAGACGGGTATGTGTCCCCGTCAGTGTGAATGGAGACGGGTATGTGTCCCCGTCAGTGTAGGTGGAGACAGGGATACATGTGTCCCCCGTCAAGGTGATCTAGTCAGAGAGGCTGCAGGAGCAACACATACCCGTCTCAGACACCATATATTTATTATTGTTTATATATACATGTATGTATACTTGGGGAATAGTGAATTAATATAAGAATAAGCCTATTGTATATTTTGGTCTCAAACTTTAATTTTATAATAAAAAGCATGACTAATATAACGGCAAACGTCTTCCTGAATGGTATTTTATTTACAACTTTACATAATGTTTTGAACAGTTTCGTGTTCATCATCATATCTAAAAAAAATTATACAAGAATTTCTGAATAATAAATTAAATTTGTACATTTCCAGATAAAATTAATCAAGTAAAAAAAAAATATTGCTAAGAGCCCAATTGAAAAGACGTTCAAAAATTTCTCTAATGATATAATATAAGGAATTGACAAATAACTAAAAAATACCAAAGAACTCTCCCACATTAAGGTCAACGATAACGGAAAGAGACAAATGAACTAGGTTTTGGTGTTCCGCTTAATGCATGTCAATCTCTGTAAAATTATTTTGTTTAGTACATTTATTATGCACCCCATTCCCATCCTGTGGGCGGTAGTGGAAAGGGTTAGAGGCACATAATGGGCTCAGGGACTGAACCCCACAATTCATTTAGCTAAGCAAGTTACAATTTTGATGAGCTAGTTACAAAATTAAATACAAGTCGTCACATCATCAATGGGTTCGACATAGACCTCAAGTACAGGTTCTAAATTAAGCAACTGACATGTGGAGAGCTAGTGTCACATTTGATATGTTTGTCCTGCACACCGCCCCCCATCCAGTGGGCAGCGGTGGATAGGTTACAATCACTTAGTTACTACCTACAGTTAGCAAACTGGGGATATTTGGCTAAAATTTCTGGCAGCAGATCATTTTGAATGAAATCTTTACACATCTTTGGAACATTTGTTATAGAATTCCCCCTCCCCGCTCAGCTCGTTGTCGCCGTCTGGGGGCTTAGTGGGCGGCTGCCGGAGTGTGATGCTCCTTGGGACAGTCCTCTGTCCTTTTCTAGCCTTGTGCTCCTGCTGCCGTCCTCTCCAATTCTGCTGGGCATCTTTTCCTTTTCCTTCTGTTTCGTTTTTCTCCCCCCTCTTCTCCTATCTGCTTGCCGTTTCCTGCCGACCTTTTGCTCGTTCTGGTTCTTCCCTTGGACTTCTTCTACTTTGACGCCCGGGTGCTTGAGGAGGCATACTCTTGCACCCGTAGAACTGCAGTACCCGACGTCGAGAGCGAGGGGAACCTTTTATTGTCAATCCCCACTTCGTCACTGAACCCGATCTCGACGGACTGTCGGTTTCTTAAGGTGGCGTTTGTGGGGCGTATACTCACGACGCACCCCTAGGAGGCCCCGACAAGATCGGCGATAGCTTCTTGTTGGGTGTCCTGCCTCTAATTGTGGCTCCATGGTGGGTGTGGGGGCACATTCGTGAGTGAATTCGTAATTTCGTCAAGATGATAACCCCTGTTTCGGCTGCTTCTGGCTTACCTTTTCAGGCTCGTGGGGTGGGCGACCAAGCCCCCGAGTCGGTCCGTATTGGAAGACCGGGCTCTGTAGCCTCCGCTGCATTGGGCCCCGACCTTGCTCCTCCTTTGGCCTCTCTGACTCCTTCCCCTGGCTCCCCTCCCTCCTCTGTGGTTGGGTCGAGCCCCAAGCCCCCAGTGGTGACTACCTCGTCCCCTGGCGCGGCTCCTTCTCTAGTTGTTACTACTGCGCCTTTTAACCCCTCTCTCTCTGGGGGTTCTCACCGCCGTTCTCGTCACGGCCGCCCTCGCTCGATTCCTTCCAGTTCTGCTACCTATCAAGCCTTGTTTGGTCCCGCTTCGTGGGCCAAATATTTTGATCTCCTCCCTCTTGATTCTGCGCCTCCTGTCGATTTCTCCCTTCATCGACATCTCATTGATTCCGTGGATGCCTCCATTACTTTTAACCCCACTCGTCTCGGTACGCGTGTCGTTGCTGCTCCTTCTCAGGATGCTGCTTCCCGCTTGGCTGCCTTATCCTGCCTTGGCGAGACCCCCGTTCGGGTCTCGAAGAACGTCCAGTTGAATGCCAGTGTTGGCACTATTTTGCTCCCGCCCCATGTTGCGACCGGTGTTCGGGACCTACGCGACTGCCACGACGATATTCGACATATCCTCGCTGCCCAGGGCCATTCTATTCTCCAGGTGGACACGTTTACTCGTCCCCCTCGTGGTAGTCGCCGTCAACCCCTCCGGGTTGTGAAGATTACCTTTGATGGTAGGACCCTTCCACCCTCTGTCATTCTTGCTGGTGCCAGGTGCTCTGTCCAGGAGTACATTCCTTCTCCTCGGCTCTGCAACAAGTGCTGGAGGTTTGGGCATGGTGCCCTCCGCTGCTCCGGGACTGTCTCTCTCTGTCCTTTGTGTGGTGGCGAAGGTCACTCTAAGTCGGAGTGCGCTTCTCCCCAGGCTCGTTGCCTCAACTGCGGTGAGGCCCATCCTACCTTCTCCCGTGCGTGTGTCCATTACAAGCTTGAGGCAGCCGTCCTCAACTTGAAGCACCGGGAGCGTTTATCTTTTCCTGAGGCGAGGCGCCAGGTTCGCCGGCTCCCGCCTTATGCTAATATCTCTTATGCTCGCGTGTTGCGCTCTTCCTCTCCTCGTCCTTCCCGCCTTCCTCAGACTCACAACCGTTTCCAGGCCTTGGACCCTGATGCGCCCACTGCCCCCTCCTCTGTCCCTTTGGGTTCTCTCCCGAAGGATCCTCCTCCTGGTCCTCTGTCTGGGGTTCCCCTTCCTTCTACCCGGTCTGTCGTGTCTTCTGTGTCTCCTTCCTCGTCCCCCTCCGATCCTCCTTCCCATCCTCTTCCTCCATCTATCGGCTCTCCCCGCCGCCTGTCGGTGCGGGCGGATGTCCATCGCTCTCCTAACGGCCGTCGTGTGTGCTCTCGTTCGGCTTCTCCTGTTGAGACACTGGAGTCCGTTGCCCGGTACGTAGTTGCTGGGACACCGGTCTCTTTAAGTCAGAAGCGTAAGCCTGGCTCCTCTCCTTCCTCTTCCCCGGCGGGTAAGAAGGCTTCGCTTTCTTCCTCAGCTCCTCCTCCTGGCTCTGTTGCTCCTTCCACTCCCGTTTCAGTGCTTGCGCCCCCTGTTCCTGCTATGGAGGTTTCTTTGGCCCCTGCTTCCCTTTCGGTTGCTGCTCTTGCTGGGGTGCGCTCCTCTCTTTCTACTCCCCCTCTTCCTGCTGCTGTCCTTGACTGCTCCTCTCCGTTGTCTCCTCCTCCTCCTCCTCCTCCTCCGGACCCTGCCCGCCCACCTCTGATCTGTTCTCCCGTTTCCTTCCCTCCGTCTTTGCTCAGTTTACCCATGCCCCCTAACCCTGACTTTGCTGACCCTGATCCCGACCCTGATATTCTTTAACGTGCTCTGTTGGTCTTTCGCCTTTGTTTCTTCCTTGTTCTCTGTTTTTGTCCTTTCTCTTCTCGTCGTTGTCCATTCTTCAATGGAACGTTCGAGGTTATTACGCCAATTTCCTCGAACTCCAACTTCTGGTTTCGCGGTTTTCGCCCCTTTGTGTCTGTCTCCAGGAGCCGATGCTTGGTGCTCGTCCTGGTCGTTTTCGTGGCTATTCCTTTCTCTCCCCCCCCCCAGCCATTGCTGGGGCTTCTAATTCTTCTGCTCTCTTGATTCGGGCTGATGTTCCCTTTGTTCCTTTACTTTTTCCTTCGCCTCTCCATTGTTCTGCTGCTCGTATCTTTGTGGGGAAATGGTACACAGTTTGTTCCATTTATCTCCCCCCGAGTGTCCCGCTCTCTCTTCCTGATTTGAAACACCTCCTAGACTCCTTGCCGGAGCCTGTGCTCCTGCTGGGTGACTTCAATTGTCGTCATTCTCTTTGGGGTGACGTTCTGACGAATACCCGGGGTCGCCTCCTTGAGCCGTTTCTCCTCTCTTCTTCCCTGTCTCTTCTGAATTCTGGTGAGCCCACTCATTTGGACTCTCGAACTCGCACCCTTTCTTGTCTTGATCTTTCTCTCTGCTCTTCTTCTCTTTACTTAGATTTCACATGGCAGGTTCTTGATGACCTCCATGGAAGTGATCATTTCCCCATCCTTGTTTCCTTTTTCTCTTTTCGCCCTTCCCTCTCTTTCCCTAGGTGGCAGTTTGCTAAGGCGGACTGGACCCTGTTTTCCCTCAGTGCTACTCTCTCTGACCTCTCCCTTCTGCCCCTCTCTCGCGCTCTCCTCCTTTTTCATGACACTGTCTTCGACGCTGCCCTCCGCTCTATTCCTCGCTCTTCCTCTCGGGGTCCACGGAAGTGCGTTCCCTGGTGGAATGCGGACTGTGCTCGGGCTGTCCGCTGTAAGCGTGCAGCCTGGAAGAAGCACCGCCGTAGGCAGACGACCGATTCTTTTCTTTTCTTTCGGAAAGCGAGTGCGGTGGCCCGTAGGGCCATCCGTACGGCTAAACGTGAATGTTGGGCATCTTATGTCTCGACAATTACGTCCGAAACCCCTCTGGCCCAGATCTGGAAGCGTATCCGCAAGATAGCGGGCAAGTTCGTTCCCGATGTTTCACCGGTCCTTCACCTCCATGATACTCTTGTGGCGGACCCGTTGCAGGTCGCTTCCGAACTGGGTTCCCACTTTTCTTCTGTTAGCTCTGGTCTTCATCTTCCCCAATCTTTCCTTCTTCGTAAACCTGTCCTTGAGTCTCGTCCTTTAGATTTCTGCACTCATCTTCAGCTTCCCTATAATGATCCCTTCTCTCTCTCTGAACTTCGTTCTGCCCTGGCCCTCTGCGGTTCTACGGCGGCGGGCTCCGATGGTATTCATTATGAGATGCTTCGCCATCTCCCTCCGAGCACGTCTCAGTATTTACTGAGTCTGTATAATCGGATCTGGGAGTCGTCGTCAGTCCCTGAGGACTGGCTCGATGCCGTTGTCCTCCCTGTTCGCAAACCAGGGTCTCTGGGTACTTCCCCTAAGGACTTTCGCCCTATTGCTCTCACAAGTTGTGTCTGCAAACTCTTTGAACGTATGGTTAACGTTCGTCTGATGTGGTTCCTGGAACACCATCACCTCCTCTCCCCTTCTCAATTTGGTTTCCGCAAGTGCCGCAGCACGACAGATGTCCTGGTGAACTTGGAGGTCTATATACGTACTGCTTTTGCTGCGAAGACCTCCGTTGTTGCCGTCCTTTTTGACCTAGAAAAGGC